CACTAAGTATACACTCCGATTTGAGATCGATGCTCTCTCCTTTGATCAGTTCGACAGAACCATCGCAATATTCCGAGCTAATAGTAATTTTCATCCTAAAAAAGGCTTTTTTTAAGGCTTTTAGATTTTTTTCCATTCATCCTGGAGTATTAGCAGGACGTTGCGTGTAAACTTTGCATGCCTTACTTTGAATCAGATAATACTCTCACCCATCGAACGTACACGAGTGTGTATGGCTGCATCTGATCGACATCGTCAAAATGGAATTATGTGTTAACATAATAATTGATCAACGCAAATGTAGTCAGGAAAAACGGGAAAATGTAGACTCAGACGACACAAAATTTGTGTTGGTTTGTGTTCCACTTCCTATATAAACCAGAAGTAACGCAAGAACACAAATATTTTTGTCAGTGTGTTAGTTTTGGTTATTCGTTTGAGTACTAACCAGACCATGGAATCTATTCTTCCAACTCGCGTTTGGTTCTGTGTTTCCCCTCCAACTCGAAAATGTAGGTCGGCCTCTCCGTTTGCCAGGCCATAATTTATTTAGATCTTTTCGTGGGTCTCAAAGAGCGATAATTCATTTCCTCACCAAAGTTATAAATTTTTTTTAGACCCGCGGTATATCAAATCTTAATTGCTGATTATGGCTAGTAAAATGGTCACGCATGAAAAAAAAAACTTATTTTTGGAATTTGATGGCTGAATTTTCTTTTGCTCATTTATATCGGGGGTTTTTGCCCCGCTGCTTTTCGTCCTCTTTTCCTGTGGATATCTCACAGGAATATTTTGAAACTTCCGTCAGTGATGTCGCAGTTTGCAAGACAGCAGACAGGGCCGTTTGAAAAATTGATATGTAGACTCTTAAAAAAACACAAAATTAGAGGGGTATTTTGAAAAATTTTGCGCAAGGAATCGGCTCTTACCATTGTATCTTACAATTGTGAAACTACACCTACCTCTTGCAGAGTTTTTGTATCTTCACATCGCATTTCAGAAAAAAATTCACGCGTAAACGTATTGCAAATTATGGCCATTTTCAATTTGGGCGAATACGAGTAATCGTATAAATGGAGATCTCGCATGTGTGGGGAATTTGCGATTTAAGTACTTCTCCCTGCGTAAAATCTCGCAAGAAACACAATGGTGTTACTGATTGCCTGCAACCCTGCATATGTTGTTCCCTATCTTTGCATTAAGAGTTTGATTTGATATACCTATAGAGGTAGACTCTCAGGATATTGTGGAATATCCCCTCCATTTCGGCCTCAACTTTGGAACTTATGTTTTTTTTTTTATATAGTTTTGGAGCTTGTTTAAGAGATAACCAGTGGCACCATCGTGTTCCTCGCAAAATTTTACGAAGGAATCAGTAATGTGTCGGTTTCGCTAATCACAGAATCTTGATTTGATGTTTGATTTTTGTAGATTAGCTGAAAATAATAAGATCGGTCCAGGCAGCAACTTTCTATGTTCAATATTAACGGAAATATCGCCCTTGGAAAATTCGGGGTTTTATCGTCATCCAACGCGGTAGCGACACCCTTGATTTCTTCCACCTCGCTTTCATCAGCCAGTGTGACGCTCGCTTGCACTGGTTACTCAAGATGAAACTCGGATGAGAGCAAAGTGGAAGAAACCGAGGGCGTCACTACCGCACTGGAAAAAAAAACATTGGATCTAGAGTCCAGACTCTTGAAAACATTGACAAGAAAAAGGACTCTTGATTCAATCAGATGTTTGCTTAAATCAAAGGAAATCCGCTCAAATTAAGAGGCTTGGTTATTGATTTAAGCTTAAATCGGATTGAATCAAGAGTATTTTTTCTTGTCGATGTTTTTAAAAGGCTGGACTCTTGATCCAATGTGTTTTTTTTCCAGTGCGCGGTGGATGACGTCAAAAACCCGACTTTTCAAGGGGGGGGGGGTCTCGGTTAATATTGGACGTAGAAAGTCGCTGTTTGGATAGATCTTATTATTTTTAGCTACGAGAATCAAGCATCAAAACACGATTCTGTGACCAGTGCAACTGACTCATTGATCTTTCATGAGCATTCTCACGGTGCCTTCAAAGGAGAGGACGCAACCCGCTCTTCAATATCCTGTCATAGACGACGGGCCGCGCACTCCATCAAACCCGATGCGAGGAAGATGAAGTGGACCCGGTCGGTGGCCAGGATTTTTCCGACGCGCTTTCAAGGTCAGCCCGAGGAAACGCAACCGGGAAAGGGGATTGTTTTCATGTTTCAAGTCCACGATCCTCTAAATAATGTATGGCGTCTCCGTAACCATCTTACGTGAATGAACTTGAGTATCCGATTGTTTGACTCCCCGGATTTAAATTGCATATTTTTCCGTCGGGGACGTCTCAACGGGTGCCTTTACATCACATTTCGGTCGCACGTCAGAATCGAGAGGAAAAAGAAGATGTCACCTTTTTTTTTGGAGGTGATTTTCAGAGGTAAATAAACAATTTGTCGTCTGCCTCACGCTAGAACGTAACTCCATTTCGATGTTGCTAAAGTTCCCTCGCGAATTGCATATTGAACAAGGAATCTTGGGCATTTATGACTGATATTTTCCCGGATTTTTCCATGAAAAAATCAAAAAAGTTTAGAATGAAAATTGCGTAGGTACACCGAAAAAAATAATATGCTGTTTTAGCATCTAGGATGTCAAAAATGTGTCTGGTGATCCCAAGATGCTGCCTTTACAGCCTCCCGCAGTTAATTTTACATCCTGTGAATGCAAATTCAACTGCGGGGGCAGTAAAGACAGCATCTTGGGATCACCAGACACATTTTTGACATCCTAGATGCTAAAACAGCATATTATTTTTTTCGGTGTATATTTGTGTAAAATAAGTTATTTTTTGAGTCCATTCGGCAACCTTGGAATAAAGTTACGTTCCTTCGTCCGGGGGACGACGAAGTGACTAACGCCAAAATCACTACGGCTAACCTCAAATAAAAATGCGTAGAGACGGATCGGCGGAAATTTTTCGCCTTTGATCATATCAATGCTATTTTTAGCCTGCATGATATGAAAATAACGTATTTTAAAAGGCAAATTCCTTTTTCCCTCATGATGTTTTCCTTTTTTCTGTTTGTTCTTTATACTTCACATCCATTGAGAGCTTCTTATTTTAATAACTGATTCATAACCGAGACGGATTTCAATTCCGTAGCATATTTTTCCATTGATACACGACTCATCTTCGGATCATCCAGAATTTTCCAGACTTAAAGAGGCGAACATCAAGAGTGAATTGCGTGATACAACTATCCAAACTCCTTAGACGCACAAATTGCATACTAATTCAAATGAAGGAAAACAGCCACAAGTAGGTAGCCGAAAGTGAAGAATTTTGGGAGTCCCTAGGAGAAGTTTGTTCTTGATCGCGATTCAAGTTATTTTTGTGGGGGAAAAATGAAAAATAAAAATTACATTAAAATAATATCCGTGAGTCCAATTTTCAAAATGTCCTGGGGGGGACCCTTGTGCTCCCCTCTCGATGGGGGGGTGTCCCTCTGCTCCCTCCCCCTCCCAATGATCCCCTATTCACGCGCCGTACACGTGGTTTTGAACTCGGCACCCGCAGGCACGAAGAGCTAGAACCGCCTATGAAACCGAATGGGTGCCGACCTTTGACGTTCTTCCTTGACCGTGTAAAAAGCGCTTACGTCTCCGCAATATTGGCACTTTAAGAAGAGGGTGGCGCGATCTGGCAACGGTCTTGGAAGTTACGAGTCCGTGGCCGGGCGACCGACGAGACGGTACACGGCAGACGGCGGTAGACACTTGGCATTAATATTCGCCTCTCTTGAGTGACTGCTGATATCAATCCTCCCTGCCCGATGCTCCTTACCCAGTGTAAACATTTAGTGTTTTCTCTCGAAACATACCTATGCAACAACCTCGCTCGCTCCTCCATCTTGCCCTCCCCAGCCTGCATTGTCGCGGTGCCTTCCAACTTGACACAAGAGTCTTGTGTCGTGTCCTCTCGGGGCGTGTTGTCACCTCGGTATCGGTCCCTCCACCTCTTAGCCCCGTGCCAATAGGAGATTATGAATGCATGAAAGAGGTCAGAAGAGGTTGAAGCTGATTCATCTGTATTTTTAGTCGCTGAATCCGAATTTGATGTTTCCCATCAAATCTGCCTTTTGTGCGTTTACAGGAAAAGCCGGAAAACTGCCGAAATCACGTTGTCACGCGCTTTTCCGGGCATAAATATCTAAATAATCGTCGAAACAGAAAATTGGTGATTAATAATATTGTAACCAATAAATGTCCGACAGAATTGAAGAGAACAAGTTTTGCGCTAGGACTTAAATGTTTTCTGTTCCGACGATTACTACGCGATTTATGCCCGAAAAAGCGCGTGAGGCGTGACAATGTAATTTTTGGCAGTTTTCCGGCTCTTCCGGAAAACGCATAAGGCGGAAATGGTAAGGAACATCAAATTCGGATTTAGCGGCGAAAGATGCATTAAAATCATCTTTAACCTCTTCAGACCTCCTTCTTGCATTCATATCCCCCACTGAGATCTATTGGTATTGGACTATACTAACTGACAAGTCGCTCTTATAGCGCATCTATGCGCTCTGCGACACCCAACCGCCACTGATAGCGATCCTGCCAGAGTTCCTCCGGTATTTGACTATACTCCTTTCAAAAACATCCCAGCAAAGCACAATTTCGTGTTTTGGGGGATGCTAATGCCCTAAAAATGTATCTTCTCGTAGAGCGAGAACGGGTCAACAGGGGTTGGGAACATACGGATATCGTTTAGAGGAGGATCTACCCACCAGAGGGTTCCGGGGGAAATCAAGAAATCCCTTCCAGTTTTCAAGGGAGTCCCAGGGCTTCAATATCTGATATTCTAAATGCCCGCCGGGCACCTCAATAAGGTTAATAATGTTATTAATTTAAATGTAATTTTTTTTTATTTCTGATTGTTTGCCAAATTTCTCAAAATATCGTTATTTTTTGTTACAGGTACGGTGAACGCGAACGGGGAAACGAAGCGACAGCGAACGTCGTACACGAGATACCAAACGCTAGAACTAGAGAAAGAATTCCACTTCAACCGATACCTAACGAGGCGACGGCGGATAGAGATCGCGCACGCCCTCTGTCTGACCGAGCGGCAAATCAAAATATGGTTCCAGAATCGGCGCATGAAGTGGAAGAAGGAGCACAAGATGGCGAGCATGAACGTCATACCCTACCACTACCACATGTCCCAGCCCTACGGGAACCCGTATCAATTCACGCATCTGGCCACCTGAGATTCGTATTACTAGTCTAACTCTCGCGCCAAGGCTTAGTTTTCTCGGCAAAAGAGATAGGCTAGTACTGCATTTAGGTAGTTTTTTTCCAAAGAATTCCCGCTTCGTCGCAGCGGACTGCGATAGCCGGGGCGATTGGCTTAAGATTTCTTGTTCATGTGGCTGTGACCATGGGACAGTTTCATCTGGAGTATCGTATTATTCTACGTCTGTGATTGGTCTGGCAGGCCACATATATCTAGAGTAACTTACTAAGTAGAGTATGGACATTGCAGGATCCATTCCTAATTGGACCGCGTGAAGCATAAAGGAACCAAGCCACGTCAGCTATAGCCAAATTTGATCGGGCAATTTAATATTTTACTTAAAAATGTTTGTGCGAATTTTTGTGCAAATTTCAGTGAATTTTTTGCAAAGTAAGAGGCGTTTTCCTTAAAATTTACAAAGGAATCCGCAAAAACATTCTCATGTAAAAAATCAAATTGCTCCGTTAAATTTGGGAATGGCTAATGTGGCTTGTTTCCTTTTTGCTGAACGCGGTTCAATTGGCCGTCATCTTAGGCTGGATGGAGCTATCTTGGGTCTAGATATGACGCACATCTCATGAAGTTGCACGCTGAAGAAAAAAATGGTTTTTTTACTTCGTGGCTGTATAAATTTTGCATGAATAAAAGCACATAAGCGACAAGCGTACTTCTTTCAAAACCCAATTTTGAGAATGAAATTCAACAATCAACTTTAAACAAACTTGGCACACTGAGCTTTGCGTTTTTGAGTTCGCTGAAAAGTTTAATATTTAGCAAGTTCTCAGTTCAATTTTGGTTCTCTCTTGCAAATTGGGATGCCCCATGTTCATAATAGCGAGAAATCGATGATTTAAGTTGATCACTCATGAATGTGTATCAATTTCACCACCATTTTACTACTCTACTACAATGTATCATGCTCAGTCAAAATTTGGAATGTCTCACTCATAGCAAGCACTATAAACATAATTTTAAAATAGTAGGCCCTTCGCCCCATTCGTTTGGCTTGCAGTGGCGTGGCGTGCTTTGCGATATATCGATTGATCTGTCATTTAAACCTATGGAAAAGGATCGATTAATAGGGTGTTCGCAGCGAACACCTTAATAATCGATTCTTTACCACAGTTTTAAATGGCATAATAATCGATACATCGCAATTCACGCCACGCCACTGTTGACTTGGATCTGTATAAATTGCATCTACTGGAGCAATATACCAGAAATTACGTCATAATAGTTTGGTTTTTTTAAAGAAAGATGATCTCCTAGCGATATGGATGTTTGGTGAGTCGTTCGTGCAAGAACTTGCCAAATTAAAGGAATTTGTTGCCAGCGCTATTTTTCTCTCATTAATTACAGTTAGCTATTATGTGAAGAGATTAATCCAGGAAATTTTAATTGCGATAAGAACAGTTGACTGGTTTTCGTTGTGCAGTTTTCTCATCTGAAATTTTCCTCTTCTCATATTCACATCATGTGACCGTATATAATAAAAGGGACTTAAACTTCTGCGGACATTAAAAAATTCGTTTGTCGGGTAAATGAAACCTAAAGAGAAATTAGATCGAAGTAAAAACTCGGTCTAGCAAGTCAGTTCTTTTATTTATTTTTTATTTTATCTATTTTATTTTTATTATTCTTAACGACTTTCTTTAGGAAGGCTTGAGTATGATTTAATAGTTAATCATTTATTTGAATTTTATTAGGTTTTGTGTTATTTTTATTGTTGTTTTTATTATTATTTCTATTTTTAATTCCCACAACTGTGAATATTGATTTTGGCTCGTAAAATCATGACTTGTTTTCTAAAAACACGATCATTAATATCAGCGCGACAGATGCGTGCCCAAACAGAACTAGGATTAAATCTAGCAGAGCAAAAAAGCTCTTCCAGTCATGAATATGACTAATAATTGCAAGTAAGTTCCATATATTCATTTTCGATGTTTTCGCAAGCGATCTCTCGCAAAATTCATAGCCAGAGGAGTTGTAAAATTTAAATAGATAAGAATGTGAATGAAACTTATCAGCAATGGGTTCACGCAGTATTACATGGCTGTATCAAAGAGCTACTTAAAAAACACCGGTAACTCTCAGATAAACAAGTGAAACGGAACAAGTACTTTACGCTTAGGAGGGCCCTTTAATTGCAGGAGCAGATATTTCTGACGCCCAATTTGCTATGTGTTGAATACAATTCAAAACACCGCTCCTGACATCGAAATTGTAGTTGCTAGCACAAACTAAGCTAGTTTCACGCCACTAATCTCTATAACAGCACTTATTTCAAAATTGATTCCGTGGCTTTTTAAGGACCCAAAGTTTACCACATTGATAATAAACCGAAAGAAAAATACTCGTGATTGTTCACCGTTTTCATGTAGAAGTAAAAATTTCTTGCCAATTTTAAATTAAGTTTCAATTTTTATGATAGAATGTCAACGGCCTAAGTTATGAAAGCTCTTAGCGTTGAAAAATGATTATTTACCTACTTATAAATTGTCTAGAGTCTCAAGTGCATCGGTATCTTACTTAATCCCAAAGTTCCTCAAAATGAACGAAATTTTAGTTTTAATTGCTATGTCCAGAGAGGATACTTAATGCTAATAAATTCCTATTAGATTTAATTAAGTAAGAAAGCTAAAATAGCTTTTGCAAGGGTTATTAAATGCTCTCTCCTTATCCGTTGAAAACGGTTATAAATAATGCGTCGAATTTATACTATTAGTGCATAATAAATCTAAGGCATCATTGTCGGTTCATCTGTATTCAAAATCAATTAAATCCTGCCTTAGAACGAGAAAATCGTGTTGCTTTGACATCAGGATTAAAACAAAACTAAGCGAATGCGAAATATTCTAAAACATTGATTTAGCCACCTCGACACTAGTATTTGGAGCCCGTACAGTTAACTACCGAATTGATATCGAAATTAAAAAGGTTTTCTCTCTTAATATTTTTATATCCGATGTCGAAACAGCTTGAATTTTTTCTGAATTATATTTTCTTCCATATTGAGTATTAGTATTGGATTTACTCTTATTTTTCCTTTTTTTACCACGGCGCAAATAAAAAGCTAGATAAATCTAAATAACAAATGAAAAATTGTTAAAATTTCACAATATTTTATAAGCCAAACGGTGTTTCATCAACATTGAAACTATACTGAAAACTTTCTTATCGTGATCATCCATGAAACACTTTATGTATTCCACTTGAATTCATTATTTTATTATTTTATTGACCCACCTCGGTTTTGAAAGTTACAATGAAAAACAAAAAATGAGCGAAAGCCAATCCGTGCTATATTAAACGTCAACAATTTAACTAGCTCTTCACTACATACATGAAAAAAAAGATTCGTCGAAAGTGTTGTGATTATTATGGTTGACGTTCATGTGAAAGAGCCGTATGCAAAAACGACATTTTTCGCCCCCCCACTAAAACTTATTCAAACTTCGTCTATCAGTTACTAATACTGGAGCGCTTCTTTCCCCAAATTTTCAGACCCCCAAAAAATTTTGGGGGGGCGCTAGGGGGGGTGGAAGTCAAAACCTGCGACCCTCGATATCTTCCGAACGAAACAAGATATTGAGGCCCGGTTTGGACGAAAAATCGTCTAAAATTGCATACTTTAAGATTCTAGAGGTCAAAATCCCAAAATTAAATTTTTAACTTAACTTATGTGCTTTTTTTCAGTTTTTGAGGAAAAACGATTTCTTTTAAACAGATGAAACTGAAATTTCACATTTTTTGATTTGAACCAAAACCAGTTTTTTAAATTGTTCGTCTTTTTCCGCATCCAACGAGTGGTCGTATAAGCTGGGGAACCGAACGGTTCCGGAGATATGATCGATTGAAGTTTCCGCTCAACGCGCGCCGACCGATTTTTGCGCGCAAAAAAGTTGGATTTGACTGTTATTAAACCAGATTTAATGTTCAAACTGAGCAAAATGCATTATTAGGGACTCTTGAGGGTCGCTGAGTCCAGAAATTACAGATACTTCCAAAAAATTCACGTTTTTAAAATTACAGCTCCGTAGCGCTATTTTAGAGGCCCACTGAGCGCCGACTGGCCGCTCAGTGGTCCTGTACGGAGCTGTAATTTTAAAAACGTGAATTTTTTGGAAGTATCTGTAATTTCTGGACTCAGCGACCCTCAAGAGTCCCTAATAATGCATTTTGCTCAGTTTGAACATTAAATCTGGTTTAATAACAGTCAAATCCAACTTTTTTGCGCGCAAAAATCGGTCGGCGCGCGTTGAGCGGAAACTTCAATCGATCATATCTCCGGAACCGTTCGGTTCCCCAGCTTATACGACCACTCGTTGGATGCGGAAAAAGACGAACAATTTAAAAAACTGGTTTTGGTTCAAATCAAAAAATGTGAAATTTCAGTTTCATCTGTTTAAAAGAAATCGTTTTTCCTCAAAAACTGAAAAAAAGCACATAAGTTAAGTTAAAAATTTAATTTTGGGATTTTGACCTCTAGAATCTTAAAGTATGCAATTTTAGACGATTTTTCGTCCAAACCGGGCCTCAATATCTTGTTTCGTTCGGAAGATATCGAGGGTCGCAGGTTTTGACTTCCACCCCCCCTAGCGCCCCCCCAAAATTTTTTGGGGGTCTGAAAATTTGGGGAAAGAAGCGCTCCAGTATTAGTAACTGATAGACGAAGTTTGAATAAATTCTAGTGGGGGGGCGAAAAATGTCGTTTTTGCATACGGCTCTTTCAAAGCTCAAATTTCTATTATTTTATGTGCGTTGTGTGCAATATTAGAATTTAAGATTGTAAGTTTGAAATACTTATCGGTAAATTTGAGAAAGTTAGGAAACGTTGGAATTTATTTTTCTTTAAGCAAGGCTTAAAGCGCGGCTGTTAATGCTAACATTCTACCCCCTCTTTTTGTGATGATTAATTATACTTTAAAATTGTAAGTGTAATGTAAATACTTAAAATGTTCAAAATATATTTTGTAAATAACGGCTTTAATAAGTCCTAGGAGTTTCAGCGCAGGATGAATGAATATTTTATATGTATTATTTTATGTATTTATGTATGTATGTATGTACATTGTAAAAGAATACTCTACCAGAAACACTCGAAGATCATTTAAAATTCTACTCTACTCTTATTATTCGTTGATATAACCAGAGATCTAAAGTTGTTCGCTCTAAGTAGATACGCTGTTTCCATTTTCATTTTTCCGTCATTTTATTTTGTAAGTTCAGCTTCACTTTTTCTCTATCTTCGAGAATCCACACCTTTGAAACAAATCCACAATACTCGTACTGAGAAATGCTCCAAATTTACTTAAAATCTGTTTTATATCACTTCAAAGAGACATTTCTTCCCCTCATAGGCAGTTTCCAGACTTTTTTGATGGAATCACAGGGGGATCTAAAATCATAGAGGATTCCTGCGAACAAATAATTCTTTTATTTATGATCAGTAATGAATAAAAATCCTACAAAAAATACAATATTCAAATTTCAATATTGTATTTGCGTAATAACATCAAAATTACCTAGATCTCTTCAAACATTATTTCTATCCCCATTTCATCACCGAAATGTCTGTTACTCGCATGTTGGTGAACGAAAATATAGTAGTTCATTTTGTCGCATTCACTGTTACTAAAACGAAGTGCGAGTTTACAGCTGAGCCCATAATTGTACATAATATTTCATTTATTTATTGTTTGTTATATTTATAAATGTATGTTAAAATGTGTAAAATTTACAGCATTAAAATTTTGTGCAAAAACGATCCGCTGGTTCTCTTCTTTTCCATATCAGAATGTTATTTTTCAACCACTCACCACTTGGTCAGAAAGAAAAGCTCCCAGTAAGAATGAACACATCATTATTTATTTGAAACAAAAATAGATACTTATAAATAAATAAATTTAATTTGAAAGTAGAAAAGGTAAAAAATATACGAATTCCTGTTACATTTACAAAGATTTAGAAATGAAATTGGAAACCAAAAATTTAGATTAGTTTACAAAATTCCAAATTTTTTCAGCTCTTGGGGCTATTTAATTTAAAAGTATTCACAATGAGAATTTTTTTTCTCTTATCTTACTTCCGTTATTTGTAAGTCTGGTTCCTCTCTCTTTAATTGAATCCCAGTATCTAGTTTTATAACAGATTCATGTCTCCTGTAGAGCTATTACCCTTAAGGACGTACCTACGTGTAGAAAAAAGCACTTAGACGACATAATATTTGACAAGCTAAAAAGTTTACGCATCGATGGGTCCCATGGAGCAAGTAAGAATGTAGTTGGAAGTAAAGAAGCGGTCTTTTCGTTAATTTACCAACAAGTAACGATATAAATGTACATGGATTCTGGTTCTTTTCTCAAGTTAAATATACATTATTACTCCAGTGGCGTGGCGTGTTCTGCGATCTATCGATATTCCCCCATTTGAAGCTGTGGTAAATAATCGATTATTAAGGTGTTCGCTGCGAACACTCTGTTTATCGATACATTTCCATAGGTTTTAACGGCCGATCAATCGATAAATCGCAAAGCACGCCACGCCACTGATAAGGACATAACTACCTTTTGAGATGAGCTTTTGGCGTCCATATTACCATGTGCTCTCCAGGCCCCTCGTGAAAGTGGAGACACATTCTGAAATCAGTGGAGGGACTATTTCAATGTTGTATAAAAGGTATCAGTTGTAGATTCAATTCTGCTCTCTTTGTTTGAAATTGACAGAATTTTCGTATAAATCAGGTGACAAAATTGAACTAAGGATATTCATTTAGCAAATTCAATCAAGTATCTTGTTCAGATACAATATGCAAATTTCGGAAATGCCATAATAAAACATTCACTGGAAAAAAACAACACATTGGATCTAGAGTCCAGACTCTTAAAAACATTGACAAGAAAAAATACAAGAGTGTTTTATCAAGAGATTCAATCGGATTTTTCTTGAATCAAAACGAAATCCGCTTAAATTAAGAGGCTTGGTTCTTGATTTCAGCTAGATTCTGATTGAATCAAGAGTACTTTTTCTTGTGGATGTTTTTAAGGGTCTGGACTCTAGATCCAATGTGTTGTTTTTTTCCAGTGTTTACTAAATTCGTGATTGACTTAAAAGTTCCTTCACAAGGATTTAACAGGGAATTCTAACAACCACTTCCAACCAGCAGACCTCTCATTTTCTGGAAGAAGTGATGTCCTCATGTTACTCGAATATTATTCCCAGTCCTTCTCCACAAACATGTTAAAGATCATTACTCTCATCGAGAAATTCAAGTATGAGAAATGAAGGGTTTGGAGGACAAGGCGCATAAGAACAGTTTTTGCTACTGCGAGAAATACGTGTTTAA